AGGCTGCTGCTCTTCTGCTGGGGACCCGCTCCAGAGCCACCGCTCGCCCTGCAGCGATCAGAACCTGCACTTCGTAGCCATTATCAGACCTGGAAATTAAAACTTTTGTGAAATGTGCAGTTACCAAAAAGTGAGCATGTTTATGGTCCTGCCCTCTGCTGCAGAAGGACCAAACTCGCAAGTAATTGCCTATCATGCAAGGGTCATTTTGAGAAGAAAATAAAAGTCCACACTATCATCCTTCCAAAGCCGTGAAAGTCTTGATATTGTTCGGTAGTAGTGTGGTGGATTTCATTTTGACCTGCCTTAAATTTGATTAAAGCCTGCCTTCAGTCCCTAGGTTACGGTTATGCTAGGGGGTTTCAAGCAAGCAAAGAGTTCAGAATCAAAGCCCTCTGCGTGAGCAGGTCTCACTCGGATTTACACCACTGCAACCCCAAACAGCTGGAAGAGTGGGATCCAGGGACTTTGTATGAAAGGTTGCTCGGCCAGAGTTGACAGCAGCAGCAGTGCAAGAACCTCATGCTCGGGCCGAGAGCAGGCTCTCCTCCCTGCAGGGCCAAGATGTCAGCCCCTTACCTCAGGAAGGTGGCTCTCCGGGACGGGAGGGAAGCGCCGTTCCCCAGACAGGGAGGCACAAGGGTACCAGGAACACTCGGGCTCAGCACCGGTGCTTACCAGCTGCTCATCTCCGTTATAAAACCAGGGTTCGTCCCAGCCACAAGCAGAAGCTGGGTGTTTTGTCTGCTACACCCGAGGAAGAGCATGTGCAAGGAGTGCAAGGCGGAGCCAGTGCCCATCGCTCCCCCCCAGCACAGCAGCCCCGAAAGCAGGCAGGATGCGGCTGTGGCACCGACGCTCCTCCACGGATGGCATCAGCCGGGAGCAGCGATGGGAGGCTGAGGAAGCTTTGCCCAGCAGGATCCTGCACCTTCCCGGTCCCTGCAGAGCCCCGTGCCCAGCGGCAGCGTCCCCTGCCCAGCACGCCTGCGGCCACGGCCAGCAGAGGCACAGGGGCATGCGCTGCCCCAGAGCTCAACTGCCCTCAACCCTTCTCCCCTCACCAAATGAACATAAAAAAAAATAAATAGTTTTACACTTGACAGGAACACAATGGCAGAGCGTGCTTAATTTATTAAAATTGCCACCTCTTTCTGAAAGTATACAGGTGTGTAAAATACGCATACAAAATACAACATTTAAACAAATTATTTACATCCAGGAGCAGCTGCAATACCAAGCAATAACTTTAGCAATAATTTTAAAAATAACTTGCTGCAGGGTACACTAGATTAAGTATTTCACAATATGAAGGTTGAATTTTAGCATTGTACTGCTATTCTAAGTTCTACAATATTACAGTACCTCCAGAGAAAACATTAATGCTTCTTTAAAAACCAGACAGCTCAGAAAGTGGTTTGAAGATTGACAAAACACTACACATTTCTCTTTGGGGACTGAGAACCACAGCAGATTTAGACACAAATGCAATAGCTACATTCAAAATACATTCAGTCTATTTATGCCAAAAAGACTTTCAGAGCCTTTGGTTACAATTTATTGCACATTTCTTGTACTCTGTAGAAATATATTGTACCTCTCCATGCTTATTTCCCCACACATTCATAAACTGTGCTGCCCGTTAGAACAGAACACGGCTGCCCTTCCCTCCAAGCCCCGCACGGTTCGGGGTCCCCCAGCGTGTGGGGTCGACCCCCCCACCCCGCTCTGAGTCACAGAATCACAGACTCACAGAATGGTGGGGGTTGGAAGGGACCTCTGTGGGTCACCCAGTCCCACC